AGCACTGGACTCTAATATATGCAGGGAAGGACTGGGAGTGGTATTTCAGTCTAATGCTAATGCACCCCATCCAAGCAGGCATGTTTCAGATGGTTGGTTTGAATCACTGCTGACGCTATGGTGACACGGGACCCAGTGCCTGCTCTCTATAAATAGCAATCTGCTGCTCTGAGCTTTGAAATAAATAAAAATCTAATGCTATCTACAGATGAAACTTGTACAAACGGAGCAATTCAGGAGCCTCCAATTAGGTGTCTTTTCCCATTTGAGATGCGGTGGGGCACCCTTGCCATCCTCCAGCTGTCATGTCAGAAGAGTGTGGGTCTCATAGCTCCAGGGTCAGATCAGCTAGCCCCATGTGAATGTCTGCATACTGTTAGGTGTCTTATATAGCATTAGATACCTACATCTAGGAACATGATGCATGCCCAAATAAACTGGGTCACTTATATGAAACTTCGTAATGTTGATCAGTGAACAGACTGGCCAACGCCCAAGAAACTTTCTTCTGGCCTTACACATTTTACTCCAGTTACTGCAATATTCACCATGTGTTCTGGATAATTTGTTAGGAGAAAGCAGATTATGGTAACGTATATTAATAGACACTCTTCCTTGAAAAATCTCATGGCTGGTAAAGACAGCTGAATTGGACAATAAAGGGTCTTAAAAAGCATCAGCCAACCCTTTCCTGCACTGAAGCAGTGTGCCAAATAAAATTAGTCAAAAGGGAAGGTTAAAATTAGTTTTTTAACAAAGGGTCTGTCCTGTCCATAGCTGAGAACCCAGCACTGGGTGACAGCATTTCAACCAGCTCAGCTGCAGGCAGGTACTTCGCTATGTTCGTGGTAGGGGAGATGATGACACCTCTTGAAAGAGCATTGAGTTCTCCTGAAGCTCTTCATGGAAGGAAGGAGGGACTCCAGGAAAGCTCTGATAGCTTCTCACTCTGACATCCCAGAAATGTAGAAAACAATGGCTAAAAGTTGAGAAAACAAGATACCTGCTTTTAAAGAAAACATTGGGATTGTTTAGGATTTCCCTGAAAGTCTATTAGACTAGGTTTTCGAGCCTGGATAAAGAACTGCTGGTCTGATGTCATAGCTGACCTCAGTTTGAGCAGGAGACTCATGGAGAGACCTCCTGTGGTCCCTTCAACCTGAATTATTCTGCGAGCTTCCCAATTGCTTTAACAAAGAAAGAGGTTTCTTCAGAACTGCGGATTGCAAGAGGCACTGGAGAGAAAACTGAAAAAGCACTTAGATACAAGTGCCATAAAGACACATTCAGTGGTTTCAGGTTTCTAAAGTTATCTGTGAACCCTGAAATGAGACATTTTATTGCTTCTCATGATAGAGTGAAACAGACTTCCCAATCAGCCAGAGACCAAGACTTGCCAATAGCACTGCTTAGGCTTACATGTGACCTTCATGTAAAAGCGTAGTCTCAGAGGTGACTGTCT